AAAATAAAAGATAATAAAAGCTTCTAAGGAAAAGAAAACAGGCTTTAAATAGCTAGGCAATGAGCAGATGAAAATCTCATGCATTCTTGAAGAATCACCACAGTTAGAACAGAACTCTGTACCTAATAGATGTTCCATAAAAATCCACTGAGGAAGCTGGGTAAAATCTCTGTGCACAGTTAAAAAACAAAAAATAATAGGGGTGACTGGGTGGCTCAGTCGGTTAAGTTTCCAACTCTTGATTTCGGCTCAGGTCATGATCTCAGTGTTTCGAGATCAAGCCCCAGCCCACATCAGGCTCCATGCTGGGCATGGAGCCTGCTTGAGATTCTCCCTCTCTAAATACATACATACATACATACATACATAAATAAATAAACAAAATACTACCCAGAGGCCCCTTAAGATAGTTATCTCATTACTTTTGCGACTATAAACTGACAGTTTATATAAACCAATTATTTCCACATCTTGAATCATTTTATACTTTAATTTTAAAACAGTATTTCCAGTTGTTTGGGAGAAACTAATTACCATAATAACTATTATGAATTTTGTCTAAATATCTTCTTTCATAAACAGGATAGATATTTATTTACTTCCTAATAAAATGAAGTCAGACCTTTGAAATATGGGAGGGAAAAGTAATACCTAAATCCCACAAAGAAAAATAGGATGTGAGGAACTAGAGAAAAACTGGGAGGTCAGCTGGTGAATTCTAATCCTGGTAGACAAATAAAGGTGAATTCAGCAAAACATGAATTAAAAGGCAGTGGATGGGGCACCTGGGAGACTCACTCAGTTGAGCGTCCGACTCTTGATCTCAGATCTTAATCTCAGGGTCACAAGCACCAGTCCTGAGTTGGGCAGTGGTAAGTGAGGTCACAACGAGAGGGGCTATGTCCTCTGGGACCACCTGCTCCCACATTTTGTGGGGTCTCCAGGATGAGAACTGAGCAACTAGTCTTCTGGTATGTTGCCCTGGGACAAACTAAAATAACAGCAGTACAATTGTGTGCATTTTGGTATAGTGTGTTAACTCACCCTTTCCCTGGATGGATTCTTACACTGAGGGTAAGAGCCCGTAGTCATAGACGGTTATAATATAGGTAGCCTCATGCTACCATGGAATAGCTTTGGATTTAGAATGGTAAGAGCTAGGTTTACGTCTTGACTCCATCGATTACTGGACAATCTGCTGTTTACCCATAAATAAAGTGTAATTAACTGAAATACTACCTCACAGGGCTGGTGTAAAGATCAATGAGAAAACATAAGAAACCCCTCTGGAAACAACAGTTTTTATTATTTTAATAATAAAAATAATGTATCTACCCATATCTAAGAAAGGCTGTACCTTCGAGTGATAGAAAGCCAGAATGGGTCTGTTAAGCGGGAAACAGACAGAGCCTGTGGACAAAACAGCCACTGCTGGTTTCATGACACTCAATGTGGCACCAAAAGGATAGACAAAGGTGAGAGCCCTGTAAGAAATTAAAGAAACATTCAAAATTTTTAAAAAATGAATAAATTTTTTGAAGATAATTTCAGTGCTTCTTGAGCAATTCAAGATCTAACAAAAAGTTTTTTTTTGGGGGGGTGTCAGGAGTAAAAAACCAAAGTTTTATTATATACACATGGAGGCCCAATAATGAAATTGAGACCCAAAGAAATGACCAAGGCAGGCAGCTTTTTATACCTTTTATACAGAAAAAATAAATGTGTGAGGAATTGACAGGATAAAGAAAATAGGTATTTGAGGGCTTTAGTTAGTAAGGAATTCTAAGTGGAATCTGGGCTGAGGTAGTAGATAAGTAAAAAAGTAGCAAGGTTTATTTCTATAGCTTTCACAAATTTAAAGTCCCTACCTCTGGTGATAAGGATGTCTATTACTTCTCTTTTTTTCTTTTTCAAATTTTTATTTAAATTCTGTTTAACGTACAGTGTAATATTGGTTTCAGGAGTAGAATTTAGTGACTCGTCACTTACATATAACACCCCAGTGCTCACCATAACAAGTGCTCTCCTTAATGCCCATCCCCCACCCACCTCTCTCAATCAACCCTCAGTTTGCGCTCTCTCCTTAAGAGTCTCTTACACTTGATCTTAGCCAAGAGGCGGAGAAGCGATGGAGTTTCCCTCTCTTTTTCCCCTTCCCATATGATCATCTGTTTTGTTTCCTAAATTCCACATATGAATGAAATCATACAGTATTTGGCATTCTCTGACAGACTTATTTCACTTAGCATAATACACTCTAGCTCCATCCATGTCGATTGCAAATGGAAAGATTTCATTCTTTTTGATGGTTGAGCAATATTCCATTATGTATGTATGTGTATATATATGTTTATCCATACACACCATATGTTTATCCATTCATCAGTCAATAGACATTTGGGCTCTCTCCAAAGTTTGGCTATTGTTGATAATGCTGCTATAAACATCAGGGAGCATGTGCCCTTCTGAATCGGTCATTTTTGTATTCTTTGGTAAATACCTAGTAGTGAAATTGCTGGGTCCTAGGGTAGTTCTATTTTTAACTGTTTGAGGAACCTCCATACTGTTTTCCAGAGTGGCTGCACCAGTTTGCATTTCCACCAATAGTATAAAAGGGTTCCCTCTTCTCTGCATCCTCACCAACATCTGTTGTTTCCTGTGTTGTTAATTTTAGCCACTCTGACAGGTGTGAGGTGGTATCTCATCACAAACACAAAACTTTAAAAAAAAAAAACCACAAAATTTTGTCTAAGCTTTGGTTTGTCAACTTAAAAATTGGTATAACTCTAGCTACTAGTTTAATAAAGCACTTCAAAAATCTGAGAGCAAATTAACAATTTATAATCTATGTGTAAATGATTGTAACTAGAAGAACTAAAGAAACCCCTATGGAGGAGGAAGAAGAGGGGCCCTCATCTTAGAGCTGAACTGGAGCTATAAATGAGCCTGCTCTGTACGACAATGTCTTCCTGGTAAACATTTCCCTCTTCCTTACAGATGTGACTGGTATCATCTCCAGGAATGAATGGCTGTCATTAGAAGGCCATGTTACCAGTCGAGCCTTATATGAACACAGACCTGACATCGGACACTTCTACACACACCTGCCTTGGCCTCCTTCCCTCACTCTGTCCTAACAAACACTTAAAAGAGTATCTAGAGTGAATCAGTCTGACCTGGGGCAATGTACTCCTAAAAAGGGTGTGGGATGGAGGGGTAAGGGTGGGGTGCAGACCCTAGGGTGTGGCCAACCCCTGCAGGAGGGGCTAAGCAGCAAAATGGAGCTCTGCAAAGGTAGTTGTTTGAAGGAAGTGCTCTCAGAATGGAGAGAAACAGGAATCTTATAACAAAGCATAAAGTTAGAAATTGGGGGAGGGGAAGCACCCATGAAGAGCTCCCTATAAAGACAATGTGAATTTTCCTTTCTTAGACCATGAGAAAATTCTTTTTAGCTTAAGTTTAAAATGATTTCCTTCCAGAGTTAGTTTCCCCCTCACTTGAGTCAAGTCTCACCTACCCTCTGACTTCTTTGTCATATTGTGGGTGAAAAGGGGCACCTGCCCCACGTCCTCTATTCTCCCCTTTGAGCCCTGCCCCAGCAGTAGCCCAGGAAAGGGGACTGAAGGCCACGAGTCCCAGGCCAGAAGGGGAAAGAAACGAGCAGTTGCCATGGAGGAAGAAAAGGGATGTGGGAGAAATAGCTACATGGATGTCAGTGCACATCTTTGCCCCACACTTACCCCCAACTGCACGCCAAGGAGATGACTCTCAAGGAGGAAGGGAGAATGGACACTCGAGTCATACAATGGAAACTGTCAGCTATTATTTACACTCCTCTAGTCCTTTTATTATTACTAAGAAATCAATTAGACTGACATTTTGATAACACTAGGCATAAGGCTAAACATCCACCCAAAAACCAAAAACAGAATTTTTCCAAACTACATGTGAATGCGTAAGATTAGCTGGGTGAATAGCTGGGAAAGTGTATTCCTGGGACAGGGCACAGAAATGTGCAGGCCCAAAGGCGGGAATAAGCTTAGCATATTTAAGGAGCGGAAACAATGTCAGTGTGGCTACAACTGAGAGACAGAAAAAGGGACATGATAGAAAATGGGCTAAATGAGAACCTCAGACTTCAACAGGTCAAGCTTTTTCAAAACACAAAGCAGGACTAGTTCTCCACATCTCAAAGCCCACCCAGAAACTGCTGCTTCCAGGATGACCTAGGAAACAGTCAACCAGCCATTTGCTCTTCACAATTACTAAGGACTTAATAACACAACAGCAGGTAAGGTACTATGCATGTAACTTATGAAGAACTTTTACAAGTATGGCCTCACTGGAGTTTCCAACAACTTTGTAAGATTCATATTGTCTCCATTACACAGACTCAGAAACAGAAACCAAGAGTAACTTGCCTGGGACACCCTGCAAGTAAGACATGAAAATAAAAACTTCTGGGATGCCTGGGTGGCTCACTCAGTTAAGCAGTTGCCTTCAGCTCAGGTCATGATCCCAGGGTCCTGGGATGGAGCCCCACATCGGGCTCCTTGCTCTGCGGGGAGTCTGCTTCTCCTTCTGCCTGCCGCTTCCCCTGCTTGTGTTCTCTCTCTCTGTCTCTGACAAATAAATAAATAAAATCTATTTTATTTTGGGTAGATAATAAATAATAAATAAATAGATTTTATTTATTTATTTGAGAGAGAGAGAATGAGAGAGAGAGCATGAGAGGGGGGAGGGTCAGAGGGAGAAGCAGACT